CGTCGATCCATCGATCTTCGTCAGCCGTTGCTATGCTGCTACGCTCCGGGCTGGCAGTGGGTGATGAGCATCTTCTAATCGCCGACTTTTCGCAGTCTGCCTCAGACCCCAACGGCTTGCGCGGCCCTTGGTAACCCGGCGACGACAGAGCCGGTATAATTTTCGATGACGTCAGTACCATGAGTGGCAGGTGGCTAAATTTTACGGAGACTTTCCACCGTCTCCAGCCCTCCTCTTTTCTCAGCCGGGCTTGGAACTAGCAATGGCGAATATATATTCATCACCACAGGCATGACTTCCGCCTTTACTGTTTATTTTTTTGTATTTAGGCTTTCAGTTATTGACATTTCAAATCTTTTCTCTCCTCTTGACAAAACCTTTGCAGTCATTCAGGCATGCTTCATCAACAACTTGTGCTTCGCTCATTTTTGCTTTGATTACCAGCACGACGAGCCGATATTTCCTTCTTGGTTGGTATTGGGAAGTTCCAGAGTATTTTCACTTGCACAGTCTGTTCCACGGTTTCAGCTGTTATTTTCACCATTATCATTGCTTTGCCACTTTCAAGTCCGTTCACTTCACATGCCAGCGGATTAACCTGCAAGGTTATTATGCGTCTCCTTGTACTGTATTCTCAGCTCGTAAGCATTTCGCAGGCAGAAATTCTATGGGTCACTGTCTAATCCTTCATTACTTTCCGCACTTTGGTTCTCGCTGCATGTACTAAATGAACTTTGAATGAGTTCCTGATCAATCCTTGTTCTTTGGTGGCTATTAGAACAGCTTCGTTTCCGTTTCGCCAAGGACTCTACATCTTGATGACTTGTTGAGTGTCTGTCTTCATCGTGTCTGCCAAGATATTCTACACTGAGCTTGTGATCTTTGCAATATTTCTGCCTATCGGTCTCTACAATTTGCTGATTATTTTCTACGTTTCCAGTTGTTGCTTTCTAGTTTGTACAAATTGTTTGCCTTTATAGCCGTCAGCATCATTTCTTTCACTTCTTGTATCCAGATATTGCCTAATGGATGGTGTTTCTATATATACATAGTCATATTACGAAGCGTTTTTCCAACATATGCACTGTTTGTGCTTGAGACATATACTCTGTTTGTGTCTTCATCTCGTAGATGGTCATCACATTTGGTGTCTTTCTATCCAGTCCTAGCCTTTCCGCGTGCCTCCATTCTGCGATGCCACCCTTATGAGCATACATTGTCCCGCATACTGGCTATTGGTCACATTCTTGCTGTTCAGAATTAGGCGGATTCTCTTTACGTATTCCTTATTCCTTGATAATTAATTATTTTTTTAAATGTATTTTGTCAAGGTCTAGCACTGTAATGTGTCTCTAGGACTGACTGCTTCCAAGCTGTTTATTTTACCAGTTTACCAGTAGCATCTGTCAATCGCTTTTCCAGATTTTTATTTTCTTAATCTCGACCTTGCACATTTATCCAACCGAATGCTGTCTTGTTCTTCTGAAATGATATATGCCCTTCGGATCAGATTATCCAGCTCATTTATGTATCTCGTATGCAAATTCCGGCCCTCCGTGCTGCAGTTGTGATATTACACTGAATGATATTACATTCGTGTTTGCACTTTTGTCCGTTTCTTGTGTTATTCAGCATGTTATTGAAAGTATTCAGTTCCGGATAAAATGCGAAATTGAATCGGTTTGAAGACTCCTTGCTTATTCTTCTCTGATCAGAATGATATGTTGTTACATAATAGTGTTGTTCGCCTTTGTTTCATCTTTGCTTCGATGAATTGTATTAGGCTGTTGTTCAAGTTGTAAAGTTTCAGCTATGTGGTAATGGATCAAATGCCGTCTTTATTTCGATCCAGGCCATGGTCTTGCTGGTCTTTCTGATTTAGCAATCCAGACATAGCGCCTTGTCCATGAGTAACTGGTCCTATAGGTCATTTGGTTTCGTCTGGCAGCGCTTTTTTCTCCGAGAAATGTTATGTTGTATTCGCCTCTAGATGTTCGTAAACTGCAATGGTAAATATGGACGTCAGGAGTTTCCAAGTCATTGAAAGGAACGTGATCGACCTGTAGTAAATCACAGCGCCATGATCTCTGTTCACAAGCGTGGGTTTGTCACTCCGTCATCTAAGGAGGTGATCCTTCTTCAAGAACTCTCTCCAAGAATATTACTACTCATGAGTGCAAATGTCGTAGCCGATTAAGAAAGAACAAAGGCATTGCGAACCGAATTTGGCGCAGCCCATTTTTCATCTTTTTGAGCGCCTTGCTCACATCCTTTTCAGTGACTGTGGCTTCACTTTGTTAAGAGATACCATTTTCATTATTTTGAGTTTTGTTTACCCAGGTAGCATTTTGTTGTGGGTTTTGTCATTGTCACAAATCCTTCGCGACCAAGCGATTTTTTTCCGTTACGACCAATGATCTCCGTATTAATTGCGAGTTTGCACGTTGCCTCCATTTTTTATGGAAGTCTAGAATTTTTAACCAAAGTCCTGCTGTATGTTTGTACCGCTAGAACTTGTTTCGGTTTGTCTGAAGCTTGGCTCCTATGCTTAGCACCCTCTTATGCAGTTTTGACTGTTCTCTCTCGTACCATCCTGTAGTTTTTTCATGATATTTGCCGTTGATTTATTTGTTATCTCTCTTCGGTTGCCGTTGTTGGTTTACTTCTCAGGGCATTTGTTCCTGTTTGTTCTTGATGTTTCTTAACCATGGTGGCTGCTGTTCTCTTCTTGGATTGTTTCCAGCTGAACGAAATGTTTATCCTTTGTCACAACAGTTGTCGCGCATATCACATCTCCGATACATTCCAGATTACTGGTTGATATCGTCTTCAGGGTCCTGTTTGCTTGACTCATATATTTATGGGGCTCGTCTTGCATCTGACAGAATGGACACGTTTGTTAGGTTCTTCAGACAGTTCGAATTCCTGAAAGATTTCTTGCCGAAGGGATTTTTATTTTCACTCGGGTTGTTAGCTTCTGTCTCTTCGGCATCAGACCATTTTAATCTCTGATCTCATAGTTTGTCCAGGACGATTTCACTAATATTTTGAGTTGACTGATCCTCGTGCGCACTGATGCCGCTATCGAAGGCTCTTCTGACAGCTTCAGTTCTGTCGGCAGCATGTTTCTCTCAGTAAGCGGTTGGTGGTGCATTAACGTCGCTCGTTTGCTGGCATGTATAACTGAAAACGTATGCCTTCTTTAATTCTTCCAACATTCTTTTTGGATATCCACTGTCCTAATTTACAGCGATGTAATAGCATATCATTTCAACTTTGTTTTCTTTTTTCAGCCTCTGTCTGTCACAGTTCTGTCACGTCCGCAGTCACAGAAAGAAAGACGTTAAACAGGTTTTCTTCTTCTTCTTATCATAGACTGCCTCCGTTGGCCAATAGCCTGCGATATGGTACAGGAAGATTTTCATTGTGGTACTTCGTAATGTGTAGATGGTTGATTTACTCCGTCTGGCCTCTTATCTTAAACCTGCCCTACCAAAATTTGAAGCTTCCAGTGGCATAGCTTTTAAGAACATTAACGTATGTAAATGCTACTCCCTTCCCGCTACATCGAGGCTGCGATCTCGGCAGGGATTTTGTTCTACAGCTGTATTGGACTATGGATTCAAATGCGGAAATATGTTTATATATAAATCAGAATCGATATTTCTGCAGTCCTCAGAAAGTGTAAATGTTCTTCTGTCAGTGTATTCTCAGCTGAAATGTCGTAATGTAATAATTCATATAGAAACCATTAAATCAGGCATATCAGCATGTGGTCGTATGTCTCAGGGTATCGTATGAGCATAGTTAACGGTCTTCGCTTCCCCGTCAATGCTTTAAGATATAACTGAAAACGACTAAATTTATTAAATTAAAGTAAATTAAAGTTAAAGTAAAAAATGTTGCTTGCCGACGCGTTTTGATGCCCTACACAAGTATGTTCATCAAGGTTATAGTATACAAATGAAAAAACATATTATTGTTAAATTCAGTTATGTAACGTATGGGTGGCAGCATCGTTTCTTTCATTAATTTCTTCCAACAAGCTAGCCGACGATCACACGGCAGCTGCTGTTGAGACTAAAAGCGCCTTTATAGCCGACATGTGTAATGAATCTTTAATTAATACTTCGATGTTTGTTTCCTCTCTATCAGCGGAAGTTGCACTCGTCAGACTAAAGGAATGCCTCAAGTAGA